GGCTCCTCCGCGACCAAAGCATGCGGGGGAGGGGTAGTCCTCATTACTCCCGAGGGCTTCAGAGCCTACTACGCAATCCGTTTCTCCTTCAAAGTCTTCAACAACGAGGCCGAATATGAGGCCCTCCTATGTGGCCTTCGGCTGGCTGCCAACATGAGGCCTCGGCAGATCCACATCAAATGCGACTCCAAGTTGGTCGTTGGCCAAATCTCCGAGGAATATGAGGCCAAGGAGGGAAGAATGAAACAATACAAGGAAGCGGCCAAGGAGTTGCTTAAGGTATTTGAGGCACCTACACTCTCTCACTCAAATACCGAGGGCTCAGAATTCCGAGGCCGACATATTATCTAAGCTCTCGGCCGACTCCCCCGAGCACATCTCCAAAATTGCCAAAATTGAGGAACTCAGCCTCTCAAGCATCCATGCAAGCCCCGTTATGAACGTACAACAACGCCAAGAGGATTGGATCTCAGATATCATCGCCTTCATCTCCACAGGGCAGCTACCCGAGAATGAGACCCGCGCTAAACTGGCGAAGCTGAGGGCTCCTAGCTACACCATCGAAGATGGAATGCTCTACAAACGATCTTACAATGGCACGTTACTTCGGTGCCTTCATCAAGATGAGGCCGAGGTCGCAATGGAGGAAGTGCACAGTGGCACTTGCTCAGCTCACCAGGGACCCTTCTCCATGTCCCGAAGGCTCATTCTCCAGGGCTACTTCTGGCCAACCATGGCCAGAGATTGTGCTGACCTTGCCCGGAGGTGCACCGCATGTCAACATTTCCAGAAAGCCCCCGGCAGGCCAGCGGTCAACTATGCCCCCATCAGCACATCTGTCCCTTTTCCTCGATGGGGGATAGACCTTGTGGGCCCTCTGCCGAGGGGTACCTCCAACAACAGGTACATCATTGTGGCCATCGACTACTTTACCAAGTGGGTGGAGGCTGAGCCCCTCGCCAGTATCACAGAGGCGAAGTGCCGTCATTTTGTCCTCAAGAACATCCTCACAAGGTTTGGCATCCCCCAGCAGATCATCTCCGATAATGGGACACAATTTGAGGCAGCCCCCTTCTGCGCCCTTCTGGAGGCATGGGGCATCAGACACGCCTTCTCCTCCGTTGCCTACCCTCAAGGCAACGGGCAAGTAGAGAATGCCAACCGGACCTTGCTCGAGGGCCTCAAAAAGAAGCTGGAGGCCGAGGGCGGTGGTTGGGTGGAAGAACTCCACAACATCCTGTGGGCCTACCGCACCACCCCTCGGCGAGCCACAGGTGAAACACCCTTCTCCCTCTGCTACGGTTTTGAAGCCAAAGCTCCTACGGAAGTCACCCTCCCCACCCGAAGGGTGATCCAATATGACCCCGAGGTCAACGACAGCAACATGGCCCTCGACCTCCACCTCATTTCAGAACGCCGGGAGCAGGCCTTCATCCGGGCAGAAAACTACCGAAGGCAAGTCAAAAGCTACATCAACGCCAAAGTTCGCACCAGGGAATTCCAAGTGGGGGACTATGTCCTCCGCAGGAGGGAAGCCAGCCAACCAACCGAGGGAGGAAAAATGGCACCAAAATTCGAAGGCCCCTACATCATAGCAGCCATCATCAAACCCGGGACTTACAAGCTCAAACGCCCCAACGGGAAAGAAGTCCCTAGGCACTGGAATGTACACCATTTAGTTAAATTTTACCAATAATGTAAGAGCGGCCAAGCCCTCATGATTAATGAATGTACTATCCTATGGCTCAAGGCCTCCAATTTTGAAGAATGAAGATACATTCAAGACATCAAGCCCTCATACTGACTACAGGCCCCAGGCCTCACCACGAGAAGAACCCCCTCCGGCACCGAGTGCCGAGGGCGGACACCATCAACACCTACGACAACAGTGAAAACACCACGTGTTTTCAGTCAAGACCCCTCGGTACCAAGTACCGAGGGAGGGAACTCCTATCACCAACAACAAGGAACGCCATGTGTTTCATTTCCCTTCGGCACCCAGTGCCGAGGGTACATTCCCGCCCTCAACTTCGAAGATAAGAACACCAAGTGTTCCTACAGAAGACCCTTCGGCGCCCAGTGCCGAGGGTACATGTAATACCCGAGATTAATTTAAGAGGATTAATAGTACTACTCATACCAACAAGGTGCATCTCCTTTTAAGGGAGCTCATTAGCCAAGAACTCTAAAGTTAAGCGTGCTTGCACGGGAGTAGTCTTGGGATGGGTGACCCCCTGGGAAGTTTCTCAGGGCGCGCACGAGTGAGGACAAAGTGCGCGGAAAAGGCTAGTGGCGGTTTGTGAGGACAGTACTAGAGGTCAGAAGTAACTACCTCGGGGCCTACGGGGCCGGGGTGTTACAAATGGTATCAGAGCAACCCTGCGACAGTGTGTTGACCCGTTAGATATCGGGCAGGCACTTAGCGGGGCAAGATTCTAGGGTTTGATTGAGAGTGTTAAGGGCGCAACGAGGACGTTGCGATCCTAAGTGGGGGTGATTGTAATACCCGAGATTAATTTAAGAGGATTAATAGTACTACTCATACCAACAAGGTGCATCTCCTTTTAAGGGAGCTCATTAGCCAAGAACTCTAAAGTTAAGCGTGCTTGCACGGGAGTAGTCTTGGGATGGGTGACCCCCTGGGAAGTTTCTCAGGGCGCGCACGAGTGAGGACAAAGTGCGCGGAAAAGGCTAGTGGCGGTTTGTGAGGACAGTACTAGAGGTCAAAAGTAACTACCTCGGGGCCTACGGGGCCGGGGTGTTACAGTACACCTCCATCATCAACATCAAAACGAAGAAAAAACACCAAATGTTTCACAGAGGACCCCTCGGCACCCAGTGCCAGGGATATGCTCTCCTATCAACTTCCAAACATCTGTTGGGAAACACCAAGTGCTTCCTCCGAAGGCCCTCCGATCAAAACACCAAGTGTTTCATTTGAAGACCCTTCGGTACCTAGTACCGAGGGAAGACACCTCCATCAACTACAACAAAAGAGAACACCAAGTGTTCCTACAGAAGACCCCTCGGTACCAAGTACCGGGGGCTACACATCGAAACTAACACCAAGTGTTGTTTCTAAAAGCTGTACCCCCAGGGTATGACAGGCATGAGAAATGCCCAGGATTCGACTTTCAAAAACGGAACGCTATCTGCGTCATCACCCCAAGGGTATGACAGGCACGAGAAATGCCCAGGATTCGACTTCCAAACCGAAACGCTCCCCGCGCCACCACCCCAAGGGTGTGGCAGGTCACGGACCATGTCTAGCGCCGAGGGGACGACTTTCAAAAATGAGGCGCTTTCCGCGCCATCCCCCAAGGGGAGGCAGGTTACGGACCACCATATCTTGTGCCCAGGAAACGACCCTCGATCCCCTCGGAACTCGGAAGGTTAACCCGAGGGAGGAGAGCCATTGGTGTATTCTGATGGTCTCCTAATAGGCCCAGCCTTACCAAGAAACCAAGTTTCTTGATGCCTTCCCTTCACCACCAACCAAAAAAAAAGGGGGGGGGGGGGGGGGGTGAAGGGGAGTAGACTCAGCGAGAAATCAAAGAGTACACTCCAACATATCACAACATGCCGAGGGCTCCCCACGGGAACACCTCCGGTAATTGAAGGCTCCTATTTCCCGAAGGATACTACTCAAACAAATATCATCAAGAAACGGCTAAGTCCAGGTCACCTCCGGTCACACGAACACTGAAGGCTTCAACAATACAAAGGGACTGGACTATCCAAGGTCCACTAAGCGGTACTTCAAACGCCGAAGGCATCTGTTATGCACTAATACCGAGGGCCCTTATCCCATGACAAGGGTCAAATTCTACAACTTTTAAAGTGTATGCCGAGGGCACACACTCATCATTGGCTTTCTTCACAACAACATGATTCCACACTTTTCCTGAGTCCAAATTTTTGGAAAACGATGGCAACCGGAGGCTAATAAATCACCAGACAATCGAAGGCACATATTACAAATCATCAAAAGCCAACCGAAGGTCCAACATCTACGACACACTGCGAAGTTTTGCTAAGTTCCACATATTAGGCCCTCGACCAAATATTCACACAACTCAAGGGCCCCACGATCCCCCGAAGGGTCCTATTCATGTACCCGGAGGGCTCTACATCCGGGAGCTCGACATCAATTTACGCTTGGAAAAAATTCTAAGTCGTAAAGATTGGGCCCCCGACTCAATCAATATTACAGCTAAAGGAATACGGCAGTCGAAGGCGATACATCAAGAAGGGATGTCATCTCCCGAAAGCTCCCAAGGGAAAATCTACACTTAGAAGATTTTCTAAGTCCTACATATTTTCCCCCCGGTCAACCACTCATACATCGAGAAGGGATGCCATCTCCCGAAGGCTCCCAAGGGAGAATCTACACTTAGAAATCTTTCTAAGTCCTACATATTTCACCCTCATCTCAAGGGGCCTAATAGCCGAAGGCTACCTATCAATCGAAGGCTACAGTACACAAGGAATCAACACTCAAGAAAATTTTCTAAGTCCTAAAGAATTGGCCCCCGGCCTATTCAATATTTCAGTTGGGGCTCCACAGTAGCCAAAGGCTACGTGACATACTACACTTGCAAAAAATTCTAAGTCCTGTACATTGGGCCCTCGATCCAATATTCACACATCAGGAAGGGATGCCATCTCCCGAAGGCTCCCAAGGGAAAATCTACACTTAGAAATTTTTCTAAGTCCTAGTAATTGGGTTACTACAAACACCCGAAGGCCTAAGGTGTGCTACACTTAGAAAAATTTCTAAGTCCTAATTCCTACTGAACCCTCGGTTGCATATCCAGCAGAGGGTGCCCAACTACCGAAGGCTTCCAGGGGCAAGCTACAATCAGAAAATATTCTAAGTCCTAAAACATACATTCAAAGGAGCAAGGCATACATCCAAAGCAAGACGAAGGCATGTATTCGACAATGAACAAATCAAAAGGAAGCATATTGTATATCAAAGGCCCGAGGGCATATGTACTCATTCATTCAAAAAAAAAAGGAAGTTTGATTGTGCTTTACAAAGGGGGCCGAGGCCAACAATTACAACACAAAAGGGGGGAATACAATTCAAGAAGGGGGGACTGTAGATATTGCCTCGCTCTCGGCTTCATCCTCTTCGCCCCCAAGGCCGCACTCCCGGAGGGTCTCCGAGTCTTCAAGAACTGGTCTCTCTTCCCCCTCGGGGAGCGGGATCCTGACATCTGGCTGGCGGGGGGAGGCCATAAGCCTCGGGACGGAACTCCTCTGGTGCCACATGAAAGTACTTCGCAAGCTTCCGGTAGATGAGGCGTTGGGTGAAGAACTCCCCGCCTTGGTAGTACGAGTCGCCCCTCTCAGCAAGCCACATCTTTCCGGGGCCTCCGACCCACTCGTCTACTGAAGCCCCCACCACCGAAGCGAGCCACTCCCTCCGGTCTTCGGCCTTCCACCCCTCGGCTGTGAAGCTGGTCACCGCATCCTCTCGGGCCTTGGAGACGGCCTCTTCTTGAGCCGCGCGGGCTTCATCAACAGCAATGCGGACGGCCTCGGCGGCGGCCTCCCCGGCTCTGGCCAGTCCCTCATTAACCCCTTCGGCCCTGGCGGCCTGCACCCTCTGCTCTATGCCGTCGGTGGCCAGACGAAGAGAGTCCTCGGCTTCAGCAAGCTTCTTCCTGAGGAGGGCGGCCTCCCCCTCGGCTACTCCCTTGGCCTCCCTCATTTGATCCACCCTCCGGAGGTGCTCGCAGAGGCCCATAAAGCTCTGCAATTCACGAAGGCAAGAATAAGGCACAACGAACATAGTACAGAAGGAAAGCACAACAATGAACAAAGAAGGGGGGGTGACTTACGGAGGCAGCATTCAGGAGGACCTTCGCCTCGAGGGATCCCTCGTCCAACCGGGCAAGGGCTAGTCGGTTGGCCGACGGCAGCATTTGGCTCATCAGAGCCGAAGGGTTCAGACTGCCCTCCAACACGGAGGCTCCCTTCGGTACTAACGCCTCCAACCTCTCCCGCCCGAAGAACTCCTGATTGATTTGTTCCTGGGGGGTGGAGGCAGAGGCGTGCCCTTCGTCAACGATCACCACCACATCGGTGATCGGCTGTTTGGTAGGGGCGGTAGTTTTCGGCTTCTTGGCCGGGGGCTCGGTCCCCTTGTCGGTGTTCTTCTTTTTTACGGGCCCGGAACCCTTGGACCCTCCAGCGCCAGCGGTGGCGACAGCAGTTTGAGAGGGCCCCTCCCTGGCAGAAGCGCCCCCCGGGGCCTTCTTCTTCCCTTTCGCATTCTTCAGAGCGAAGAGGGAACCGACGTCCAAATTGTTACCTGCAAGCAACAAAAAAAAACACAAGGGGGTTAGATCGAAGGCTACCAGTCACTACGTCATAAAAAAAATGGGGAATAAGAGAGAACTATCAACGCATCAGTGAACCATTCGGTGATCACCTCCAGCTCCTTCGAAGACTCGATCGAGGGGAGGGTATCTTTCATCCGAGGAGCCCCTCGGCCTGAACTGCCGGAAGCCCAAGCTGAGCAGTTCCTCTGGAAGGGTGACGTCTCTGATCTTGACGTGCTTGTCAGACCCCTCCGGCTTCCTGGCAAGCACTTTGCCATTCTTCTCCAGAGCTGCGCTCCCCACCTTCGGATGGCGCCGGAAGCTATTGCGGAGTTGGGCCGGGAAGGGGTTCTCTTCGAGGCGAATGTAGCAGAACCTCTCCTTCCACCCCTTGTGGGACGAGGGCACATCATCAAAAAGCCGGAACTCCGGTACCTGCTGAAGGTTGGCAAAGCCCTCAGTGTTTGAATGTCCCCCCGGCAGAGGTTGAAGGACAAAAAGAATTGATCAAGTGTGGGCTCGACCCCCCGGCTCTGACACAAGGAGAGGAAGCCGGCCACATAGGAGTGGCTGTTGGGCGTTAGATGGTAGGGGGCCAACCCCACAAACCTCAGATACTCCAAGAGAAAAGGATGGAGCGGGAACCGAAGCCCCATCTCCACCGAGAGGGTGTGAGCAGCAAAACACCCCTCGGGCGCATATCGCAGCAAATCATCCGCCCTGGGCTCCACCACGCGCACCGAAGGGCCAACCAGCATCTGGGTGGACTGGTATTCTGTCGGGGACGCCTTCTGTAAGGAATAATTGTATTTAGATTTTGATGATGCTATATTAATTAGGACTTTAGATTACCCCTTTAGAAATTATGTATTAGAATTTTCCTTTGTAAAATTCTTAGATGTATTCGACTTGACAGAAGTGCTTCAAGAGCAGAAGTGCTTCAAGAACAGAAGGGCTCCCAGAGCAGAAGTGCCTCTTAAGGCTTTATTGAAACAGAGGACCTTTGGTTCTCCGCTCCAGAACAGAAGCCCTCAGGACCTCTGTTAGTATTGACCCTGACAGAAACCCTTCTGGGTCTCTGTTGGATACTCCCAACAGAAGTGCTCCAGACCTTCTCTGTTCTACTCTCAGACAAAGACACCAGAAGGTCTGACACTTAGAAGATTTTCTAAGAACCGGGAAGTCAACTTAAAGATTCCTTCAACGGCTAGGAGTATAAAACGGAAAAGCTACAGTGCATGCATTAAATGCTCATTTAATGCACCCCATGCTACGTAGAGTAATTGCAGATGATTGGCCGAAATGTCAGGAATACTTTATCCCAAAATAGTAACCCGCCAACCTTACCGGGCTCTACTAGTCAAGTCAACTGATCGCTCATTTAATGCAGTTGTCCTCCTACTCCTCCAACGGGAAGACAACCTCAGTATAAAAGATACACTACAAAGAACAACCGGACAACTTTGCCATAACCTTGCTATCACATTGCTAACCAAGCAAGATATTCAAACTCTGAAAAGCAAAAGCCTCCTTGAGATTCAAACTCATTATCCTCTACAAGAGAAGGCAGAAGTTGGAAAAATACTCTTTCCAACTCAAGCAAAGTTCCAAGTGTTCTTCAACTCTTCAAGCTCCTCACATACACATATTTTGTAACGAAGCTAGTTGGAGGAACCTCAGTTTCAACAGAAACTCTTCTTGCTACAAGAAGGACGTCCTAATAACTGGAGTAGTGAAGTGGTGATACTTCAAGGAGACTCAGTGAAAGGACCAGTGTTAAAGGAAGCCAGGCAGAGCATCCCAGGATACATCTAGACTTGAAGAAGACGTGGAGTGCTTCTTGAGTGCTAGGACTAAGGCTTTGTAAACGGCGGGTTTTACAGCTTAGTGGAACAGTGGATTAGAGGAACGAGTTGTTCCTTGAACCACTATAAAAATCCCTGGTGTCGTTTACTTACTGCTTTTAATACTTGCACTTAGATAGAACTGCATAACTCCTTGGACTTGGTATCTGTGTTCAGCAGAACTGGTTCTACGAGTTAACAGAAGGCCTTCTGCCTTTGCTTCTCTGAGGCTAACAGAACTCCCTGCCAGAACCCCACCCGCTGCCAGTCTGTTCTTTCAGAACAGGCTATTCTGAAAATCTGGTACTTAGTTTAAAAAGCTAAAAACCAATACAGTCTATTCACCCCCCCTCTAGACTGTATCCAGTATAACCGGGACCAACACCTTCGTCTTCAGCTCTAGAGCGGCAGTATTCAAGAACGAATGGCCCTCGGGTATGCCCACCGGCCGCCCGGCATCCACTGCCGCTTGCTTCTTCCTCGGGGCCGCCTTCATCTTGTTTTTCTTCCCGGGAGCCACACTTATGGGCGTCGGGTCCAATGACCGGGAGGAGCTGGCTTCCCCGGCACCCTGGGGGGGAGGAATGGCAACTGTCACCTTCAGCCTCTCCCTCTCCTCTTCTTGCTCGGCGGTCTGCACGGCGAGGGCAAGCTCTTCGTCCTCGTTTTCTTGTTCGAAGCCCTCGGCTTCGACCTCGGCCTGGAGGTCCTTCTCCACTTCCATGGCCACTGCGGCATCACAACCCGCCGAAGACTCCACGCTCGACGACTCCACATCTGAGCATGTCTCCATCTCTACCGAAGGCTCCCCCGAGATATCCTGGGAGTCGCTCTGTGATGACATCTGCTCACTAATTCGAAGGCTCGAGAAAACTAGGGTTTCCTAAAAAATTCTATCTCCTAACCTAGGGGCACAAGGCATAGCTAAACTAGAAGGAGAAAGGCAGGGGGAACTGACCTTGAAAGCTGAGTGTTTACCGAAGGCTTGAGTTTCTCTCTCTAGAATTTTTGGCAGAGCTTCGCTAAGACAGATGATCGCACAGGAAGAAAGGGCTCTGGCCTTGGGGTATTTATAGGCGATGGAATCCGGGCTTGGGCCTGGATTCCGGGCCTCCGGATGGACCGCCATCATTACACACCGCGTCTTCGCCCAACCAGTGATGCCGCCCACGGACAACCAGCCATCACGCGCCACGTGTCCCCCCCAACGGCTATATCCTGACGTTACATATTCCAACGGCTATATTTCCAACGACTATATTCTGGAAGCCCCCGGGTTTTCTACTCCACTCCGCTACATCGAGGAGAGCCTCCGGGTACACTTACCCAGAGACGCCCCCGGGTTGTGCCCCACACAGCACATAGCAGATGCCTCCGGGATCACTCCTTCAGAACCCAAGGCTTCATATCAGGGCACCCCTCGGGGATTCCCCCCCAGCACTGCAAAACCGGGTAGCCCCCGGGGAGTTGCCTCATTGATGGATAACCCATGGCACACAGGTAATGGGAGCCCTCGGGTATCTTCATCACCAACTAATCAACAAACAGTGGACCCCCCGGTAACAACTCCACTGCTGCCCTCATCCGGCAGGCCCTTGATCCCCGGATTGGGGGGCTCCCCTTCGGCGCCCCCAGGACATCAACAGCAAGCCTTCGGCTAATCAACACATGAGCCCTCAGAAAAGGAAGAGCCTTCGGCATTACCGTTATTCTCCATTTTTTACCAAGGTTTCACATTTTCGATTCATCATTGGGGGAATTCGGTGCACTTTTTTTCCCTCATTAGGATTTTTTCCCCCAGGGTTTTTCCTAATGAGGTTTTTAACGAGGCATCCCCCCAAAATGAAACGAAAAGAGTCAGCCTTCGGCCCACAACAGCAACGCGACTACTCTACTCCTTTTCACCACTTTACAAGTGCCCTAAGGAGTGGGGGACTGGAGGACCCCCTCGGGAAAATCATTAAATTACAAAATTGGTGAAAAATTCCAACAAACGGCAAAGCAAGCCCTCAAGTCCCGACATGTGGGTAACTGAGGGACTGCCTTCGGCAGGGACATAAAAGCAACAACTTCTCACCAACTTCAGAGATCACGACAGGACAACATCAAAGGGCAAGCACAAATTACTCCTTTTCCCTCAAATACCTTTTGGCAAAAGGAGTGAGGGACTCCTGATGGAGTATATGGCCCGGGAACACTCGGCCCACAGACTCCTACTACACCAATGAAGGCCCAACAGGCCCAGGAGGCCCAACAGGCCCAAATCACGGCGCCCAGAGTACCAAGCAGCCCACAATACGCACCAGGGGTGCCTTCGCCCCCCTGGCCGAAGGCTCCAAACTATCACAGCGTGGATATTTCGAACAAACAGAGGAACTGGGAGAAAACGGCGAAAACAGTAGCCCTCGGCACTCTGAGCCCTCGGCACTCAGGGCCCCTCAGCACTAAGAGCCCTCGGCTAGTCCTCTGCAGCCGAGGGCACCTCTCCCGACATGATATCCGCCTCACATGCGTGCAGATCACCGTACCCTGCACAGACGTCCCATCCAACAGCCGCATTAAATGCGGCCACATGCGGCTGCCAACGCCAACCAGTTGAGGTGACCCCTCGGCCAATAGGCGCTTGACACGTGTCCCTGCCCATCATTTATTGCTACTATAAATAGCACCCCATTTCCCCATTTGTAACCACGCTGAAAACGCTCCACATTTATAATACACTATCTCTCTCTACATTTACTTGCTCTGACTTCTCTCCAGTTATTCTCCGCAATAGCCAAAGGAGATTCAAAACTGAGTTGGGACTGGCACAAAAAGCTCAACCATTTGAATTTCAAAACAATCAACAAACTAGCCGGAGAACACATTGTAGAAGGGCTACCAGACATTGTGTACAAAAAGGAGAGCCTCTGCAGTGCATGTCAGAAAGGCAAACAAGTGAAGAATTCCTTCAAACCCATTGCTGGAGATCTTTCTACAAGTCCTCTAAATCTGATTCACATGGATTTATTTGGACCTGTTGAGACTCCAAGCGTTGGTGGCAAGAAATATACCTTAGTCATGGTTGATGACTACTCCAGATACACATGGACTGTTTTTCTGACAAAGAAAAATGAAACTCTTCAGAAGTTGCCATCTCTGTTAAAGCAACTTCAGACTGAGAAGAACTTGAAAGTAAAGACAATCAGATCAGACAGAGGAACTGAATTTGTCAACCAAGTCATAAAGGACTTCTGTGATCAGAATGGAACTTTTCATCAACTTTCAGCCGCCAGAACACCTCAACAGAATGGCGTAGCAGAAAGAAGGAACAGAACTCTAAAAGAAGCTGCAAGAACAATGATTGCAGAATCTGGATTGCCTATGAGATATTGGGCTGAGGCAATCAACACTGCATGCTATACACAGAACAGAAGCATGA